CTTAGTCCAGAGGTCAGAGTTCAGGGCAGGCCCTGGCGCCCTGTCTACACTCGCGGCCAAGAGGTTGGAGCATCGGAATGCAGAAGGCCCCTCGGTTAGCTCGCTGAGATTCAGTTCCGCGTGGCGGGGAGTATTTTGTTGCCTTTAGTCCCTGGTTGGATTGGACACAGCTGTGGCTGCCTCTTCTGTTTCCCATTTCCTCTGGCAAGAGCGCTCCGAGGGCCCGTGTTAGAGGTGAGACCAGTCAAGAGCGGACTTGGTGACCCTCCTCTCCCGGCCCCAAGCCGTCTGCTGTCCTGGCTTGGTCGTGATGTGCCCCTGCTGTCTCTCACCGTGACCCAGGTCATCGGAGCTGGTGGCCTCCCCCGTCATTGACCTGGGCCCTGGCACCTTGATGGTGAAGCGGGGCCGAGGAAAGGAAAGGGGAGCTCCTTTGAGTTTTTATTTTCAGGGGATTTGGTTGGTGGTACCTGGGTCCTTAGCTCTTGTGACAGTTTAGGTCCTCTTGGTAGAAACCTTCTTCTCAAGGTCTTTCTTCACTTATGGTAGATGGAGGGGTGCTCTGTCACCCCCAGATCCCTTCTCTCACATTCCCCTCTTCTCAGTGCCTCTGCTTGTAGCACGCTGGGCACTGGCCCCTGAACTACTTTCTACAAGGGCTGTTCAAAGTGGCTGACGGTGGTGGGGGTCCCACCCGAGGGGGTATATGCTCCCTTTCTCCTTTCCTAAAGGAGCGAGAGAGAGGCAAGGCTGAGTCTGTAGGGGTATCATGGTCTGTCTGCTCCCGGGGGCGTCATCAAGTGCAGCGGGTGTTTGGTCTCCTTTCCAGGTCATCCACTGTGAATTGGCCTCATTTTCACTTTATCTTTTCCAGCATGGAATAATTCAATCATCATGCTCTGTGCTGTGAGGGAAGATTCCAGGGTGAAGTCATCTCTGGTGTGCCCTCCCTGATCTGCGTTAGTACTGGCAGATCACAGGGTAATGCTGCCTGTCTTGGAGAACCTTCTAGACTCTCTGAGTGGCAGCTGTTGTCACAGGGCCAGGGGAAGGTGTGACTTTGTGTTCTGTCCGCTCTTCCCCACTTCCTTCATTGGTTTAGGGAACACATTTGATACTTTCTCGCAGTCCACGCTCTGGCCCTGGCCTCTCTCTCAGGCTGTAGTGACCAGAAAAAAAAAAAAAAAAATCAAGTCATTGGTGTAAAACCAAGAAACCATCCTAGACTTCTGTGTTGGGGCTGCTTGGCCACACAGACCCCCGGCCTGACTTTCTGCATCATCGGGGGTGAGGGAAGACCACAGAATGGTGACCAGCTTCAGAAACGGCACATGTGATTCCAGTGAGGCTGCCCAGCCTTCAAAATGTAAAATTGACTTGCCCTTGATTCAGATGACACACATTCCTTGTGTAACCCTTCATGACCCCCATGTGCCTCAGACATTCTCTTGGGCACTTGTAGAATATCAGCAAATGGATGATTTACATCAATTAATAACTGAATACTTCAGTATGTTTTATGAGGGGAAAAAAACCACAGTGATTCCTTAAAACGATGTACAGGTGGGCAGCAGCTATTCATACAGCCTGGGCTTTGTTCAGAAGTTGAGCATTTCCCCAAGAACAAGAATCTCAGAACTTGCTAAGTTGCTGAGTGTTGAGATATATTTAACTTCCTAGTTTTGAACCACCTGAAGATAGTTCCTAGGTCTCTTGTCAGCAAGACATGCTGTGTCAGAGAAGTTTGTCCTCCACACCAGAAGGTGAGATTTTTAGGATCCTCCTTCCCCAATGCTTCCTCCTTCCCTAACATGGAGCCTCCGGTAAGCAGGAGGCCACTGCACCAGCTTTTCAGAGCCTTTGGCTGAACGTGTCTGGGCCTTTTATCAGTGAGCTTCAATGGTGCTGGTGAGCCTTTCCTTTGGCTCATGCTGCCTGTGCAGCTGAGGCAAGACCACCTCCTTGCTGCTGCTAGGATGTTGCGGGGCAGGGCAGCCAAATGTCTGTCAGCTTGTGCCTTGTGTCCACGGGGATTCATTAGACCAAACATCCTATGTCTGAGTTAGCCTCAACCTCGATCTGGTTCAATAGAGTTGAAGGTAGCTGCTGATCAAGACTTTTGTACTTGGATGAAAAGGAATGATGTGGGCCCTCCCTTGTGAAGACTTTTGTACTTGGATGAAAAGGAATGATGTGGGCCCTCCCTTGTGGTGCAGTGGGCTAAGGCTCAGCACTGCAAGCTAGCGCACCCGCTTCAGTGTGAGTTCGATCCCTGGCCCCGGAGATGACCACATGGCGCGGCAGACCTCTCCAGTCTCCCCCGCTGTTCCCTTCAGCAGTGTACTTCATTGATCTGCCTGTTCTGCTCCCCACTCTGTCTCTGGTGAATCCTCTCATCGCCCCTGCACCTCTGGCCTGTACCCCAGTTCTGTATGCATAAATAAATAAATCTTTAAAAAAAAAAAAAAGAAAGAAAAGAAAAGGAATGATGTAGCCACCCAGCAAACTCTACAAGGCTGGCTTGCCCTTTGGCAGTAGATAGCGGTTTCTCCTAGTGCTAATGGTTTATGGACTCAAACTCTTTTACCATCCTCTTACACACAAGTGGAAAGAGCAAGCTGGAGAGAGCCAGCTTGGGGTGTGGGGTGTCCCTCTGATAGCAGGTGAGCTCTCACAGTTTATGAAGAGTTGGGATTGCACGAACTTGGTCCCATTGTCTCCCCATCTAACCTTGCTCACGCCACACAGCCTTACAGAGCTTTGCTTGTTCAACCTTAAAGTGTGGCCAGTAAGTGTCTTGCAGGATTGTGTCAGGGACTAAAATAAGTGATAAAACTGCTCATGAAGTGCCTGGCATAGCGACACAAGCAGGTTGTGAGACTGGCAGTGCTCTAAGTTTGGCAAAAGTGTGGAGCTGGATCAGTTTAGGACAAGCCATTGCGCTGGTTGGTCCTTGGGAGTGTCTCTGCTTGAGAGGCGAGTGATGGTTTGCAACACGGAGCATGGTTTTGGTATCCGATGGACGGGATTGAAGTATGGATATTTCTTGTTGGTCTTACATGTTCATTCATCCCATGGCTGTCTGAACCTATCTTCTCAGGTTTAAATTCTCAGCATTATTGTGAGGATGAGCTCTGAGTCCGTGCAGTTCCCTGGATTGTACTCAGGAGGGACTCGTTGAAGTTGCCACTGTCACTTGTGCCACCTGGGTCTTGCGTCCTCCAGTTGGAAGATATCTGGTTGTAAAAGGGGTGGATGAAGCAGGAGTCTCTGGCATGGGAGCATATGTACAAAGCCAGGCAATACAACATATTTGAAGGTTCCAAAAATAGACATAAGTCTTTAGCAATAGTATTTTTAAAGATTTTGTCATGTATCTGAATCTTAATTTAGTATCTAATGAATATGGTGGCAACCCTATTATTTCCTACAAGTTACTCAAGCTAGACGTATAAGTTGATTGATTTTATAATGGACAACAGGTTTTTAGAATATTGAATAATGTCTGAAGTAAGAGATCAAAATATTATTTTCTTATACTTGGGGATGTTAAAGTCAATTTTAAAACTTTGAAGATATCCTTAACCAGAATCAGGCAAAAGGGGAAAGAATGAAAGAATATGGAGATGTAATTGGTTATGAAAAGACGAGTTATGGTAGTAAATACAAGACAGTGTATATGGCCAAATCTTTCAGTTACATATTCCTTCAGAAACAATGCCCTGATAACTTGAGCTATTCAGGATCAAAGTGAACAGTGCTAGTAATCTTGAACAAACTTGTCCTCATCAACCTCCTGTTCCCGACGCCAGTGGGTCATACATCATTTTAATTGAAAGTAGTGGACAAGATTGTTCCACCACTTCAGTCGGCATCACACCATTACAAATACATTATGACTTTGACACCTTGGAATTAAAAAACGATCCAACTTTAGCAAGAAATAAATGAAGCTGATAATTATCTGGCACATTTAGGTGATGTGCTCAATTTGGATGAATTAGAGCTCAAGGTGGAGCTTGCACTCTGGAAGATGAGCTGTGTGGGTGGCCATGCTCACCAGGTCACTGCTGCATGACACTTTCTCATTATAGACACTTCCCTTTACTGGCTGCTGCATTGAAGCAGACACTCCAGTATGTATACATTTGAAAACATTATATAATTTTTAAGGGGGTGAGGCCATCCGAGCCAGTTCTTAGAAGATTCGGTGAAGCTGGCTAGATGTTTTCAGATTGCTTTCTTCTTGACAGAAGGCCCTTAGAATTGCATGGTGAGTTCAACCAGATACATTGGGATTTTGCTGAGTTTTTTTATTCTTTCTGAAAAGAACCTACATATGCTCTCTTGGAGAGATTCCTGATCCTCTGAGAAACAGGCCAAGGAATTCTAGTAGACTGTGGGTTTCTCTGATGAAAGGAAAGAGGCTGTGCATTGGCATGTAGTGATTTCTTCTACATATTTCCTTGAAAATGTTTCCTCTGCTTTGCAGTACATCATGTATAAGACGACTGGCTTCTTAGATAAAAGGAAATAAAATTGATGTGACCTTTTTGTGCTAAAGAAATCTAGAGTACTGTCCCTGAACTGGTAGGAAGAACAAAAATCATAGTGTGTAGGTTCTGGAAGGGACCTCGGAGGTCATCTGGTTGACCCCCTTATAGGCAGGTGATTGACCCACAGCCTGTCTCTCTGTCATGCAGGGAGTGGGGTGGCTCAGCCCAGATAAAAGCCCAGTCTTCCTGGCACCAAATTTATGTGCTCTTCCCAATCTTAGCTGCCCTCAGCTGTTGGCTTTATTTAACAGTTGGGCTTTTGGTAAGTCGAAAATTATTCCTCTTTCTTCTAATGCATGAGTGACTGAGGTGGAAACAGAAGATTATGTTGCAGAATACTCTATGGAAGAACTTGAAATATAAACAAAATTGACTCTCACTCAGCATCCCCTTTTTCTCATGACCAAAACTGAAGTCTCATAGCAAATGTTTTTCTCCTTTTAGAACAGAAGAATCGATAACAGATGATGACAAGAGGCGGTAAGTTTGGTACTGAAAATGACGGTAACATGGATAATTTTGACCACACCTTAGGGAGTTCACATGTCATGGATTAATTTGTCATGGATGTAACTGAACACTGTAGCACTGTAGGTCACAAATACGGATTCTGGGATTCTGCCAGGAAAATATTTGACACTGAGGAATAGGTAGGAGCATGAAAAAGAGCTTGCTCAGAGCCTACAACCTCGGCTTCTGTCTGGCAGGCTTTTTTTTTCTTTTTTCCTTGGCTTTTTTTTTTTTTTGCTTTTGCCTTTTGGAGTTTTTGTTCTTGTTGCCCGGGGGCTTCCCTTTCTTTTTTGTTTTCTTTTCCCTTCCCTTCCCGCTTTTGTTTACTTGTTTCCTTCTTTTTTGGTTTGTTCCCCCCCTTTTTTTTTTTTTTTTGTTGTTGGGTTGTTTTTTTTGTGTGTCCAGAGCATCTAATAGCATGTTGACCACTTTGAATTTTTGATAAATGTTGACTGATGAACTGTGATCTGTCATTCTCCTGTTTAAATGGTAATATCCTAACTTTTTTCTCATTTTAAGTAGAATATCTAAAAGTTATACTAAAGACAATAAATTCTCTCTCTAAATAATACACACATTCATTTTAATATAAAAAAATAGTTAATGTGCATGGGATTATGGTGATGGCACACGGATGACTTGGTGATGGGAAACCTGCGGGGATTACAATTGAGGTGGAAAAAAAAATGTACAAAATGATGTAAAAATAAACTTTTGTAAAAAAAAAAGTTATATGCCCAAGGATAACGGTATCCTGACTTTAACTTTCGAAAAATCATGAGTTATGTTTAATATCAACAATTCTAGAATTGTTTGAAGTCCCCTGTGCTGCTCTCACTTTCTGCAAATATATGGTACCATTTCCACCTGTCTGACTTTTCTTATCTGCTGCTTTTCTTTTAGAAACTACGGAGGGGTATACGTTGGCCTCCCATCTGAATCTGTCCATATAGTATCCAGTCAAACAAAGACTGTCCGAAAAAGTAAGTAAAATTGTGATATATTTTGTGTTTCATGCAAAAATGTCAAACTTGTATTTCAGCTTGCCTGACTCAACCTACATATTACTTAATTACAGCAAACTGTGTATAAAAGCCATGTTATCTGTACATTGTAGTCATTTGGCTAAAGGGCTACTGAAAAGATGGGATCATTCCAGAGCAAATGTGAGCATTCTTTTGTGGTTATGCTCCATGGAGATTTTAAATTCCTTGCTAGTTTCAGTGATGATGTGTGTCAAAATGGAAGGTAGTATTTGACTAAGTTTTTGTAGTACAGAATGGTAAATTCTTGTAATATATTTTGAAGATGACTCACTGATCCAAGTTTGGGGGCTGGAGGGCAAATAACTGCCTGTGTCTAATGAAATGAAATGAGGGTTCCCCTTCTTTTTAATAGTAATTGTGAGACTAATGAAGCCCTTTTGTTAACAAGTATGACCCACAACCTTGTCGCTAGCTTCTTGCTTAAGTAAATCTTCAAGAGATGCAGGTGCTAAAGAGCGTTGAGTGTAAAATCGTACAGTCCTCTAATGTGTATTAAATGCCTGTTAATATATCTCATATGCAAACAAAGCAGCATTACATTATTTTTTTCAGATTTTATGTTTATTTGTTGCCAGTTGTGATTTGTCTACTTCATGACTTAAATTAGCAAGCAGCTACATATGTCACTATTTTTTATAGTTTTATATGAACTTGGAATATTTTTTATACTGTGATCATTTAATCTTTATTAATTTTCTCTTGAAGATTAGAAGAAAATGTCTCATGACTCACTGACCAAGAGGTACTGTATATCTTTCTAAATAATGTTATATATTTAGCCTTGATGATGAAATGTAGCTAGTATTCTGAAAAAAAAATCTTAAACATAAAGACAGGGGGCATCTTATTTGGGGTGAAGCCTGTAGAATCAAACATGTCTTATTATAAAGAGGTCATCAGCAGTTAGATCTATTGTCTTTGCTGCTCCTTCCCATTTCATTTAAAGTGCAGCTTTATTTAATAAGAACAAGCTAAGTGTCCACTTACAACACTGAGGTTTCATTCTTCATTTCCAAAGCCTTTGAGGGACTAGGACTTTGGAAATGTCAGGGAGCTACCAGAGAGGATAGAACTGGGGAGTCGATTATGATCAATATTGAGTATTTAGCATAGCCTGGGATAAGTTAATATTCAGAGAGGAAAAGCATTAGTATCTAACTCTGCTGGAGATGGGCAATCATTAATATATAGTGATAACAGTTTTGTAGGAAGAAGAATGGAATCATGGGCCAAGTTACAGGTTGGGTATTAGAAAACATGCTCAATGTGGACAGAAGAAACGATTGTCCAAAAGGTGATTCTGGTCAAGAGCTTGGAATTAGAATAATGATAAGATGGGCAAGAACCAAGACAGAAGAAAAGTGACTTTCATTTATTAATCATTTTCTGTGTACCAGACTCTAAAAATTATAAGCAACAGATGCACAGAGGCAAAGACTCAGTTTCACCTGGCCCAACAACTCAGATCATGAGGAGCCCCCAGCTGTCTTGTTGAGTGACATTCAGCCTCTCGAATTCAGTCCTCAGGAATTGTCTGGTCCCCTGAGGTAGCCCATTCTTGGCAGCCTTGGATTTGGGGCAGGCTTTTGCACTGCTAAGTTGAGCAAGTTACTTTCCCTAGGCAGTCTCCAGTATGTAATCTATACAGTGGATCTGATGCTTAACTGAAGGGTTATTATTAGGATTAAATATGGAACCAGTGGGAGCACCTGCCCTCACCGCTGTGATCACAAGCATCCTCTTCCTCTTCCTCTTCCTCCTCATCAGAGTAATCAGAGTCCAGTCATTGGTAGCCACGTGGTAGATCAACTCAGATCTGTACTGATTTGATGCAGGACCAACTACTTGCCTGGATCCAGTATTGGCGTTGGTGCTCTGGATGGGGAAGGGCCAGAGAAGAAACTTACAGATAGAGAAATGGGCTTTCCCACTTGTAGGGTAAGGACACAGAAAGTGGAATTAGTTTCTTCTTAATAAGAACTATAACCATCTCTGGATGTCACTTCTTTGAAGATGTTCTCATAAGGCAGCAGCATTTTGGAGGTTTATTATCTAGTTCTTCATAACTAGATAATAATATATTCCATATTAGGATGATGAATTCTGTGTGAAAATTGCTGAAGATTTCCTAGTTCTGAACCTCCATATAGATATCTAAGGTCCCTGCTAGTTTTCCCCTGTGCAGGTATCCTTTTATTATTGAAATCAAATGGAAAAGGTAATCTAGTTGAAAGCAAGCACATATTACTGTTTACCCTCCTGCAAAGAGGGTATATTTCAAAAAAGCCCGGGGATAGAGTGGGAAGGGCACTATATAAACAGCCATCAGGACACAGCTACTCTGCTGTGAGCACACAGCTCTTCCCTTCTCGTCTCCCTCAATTTCAGTTTCTGATGGGACAGTTATACAACATAAATGATCAACTTTGTGTGTGGGTCTAAAATTCCCTGATAACATTTTAGGAGTATTGCTGGTAAGCCAGACTGCATAACTTTAGACAGCTGGCTAGAATATTTCCTTACTACACATGACTATAAAAATAGACTATTTTTTCCCCCATCCCTCTCTTCAATTTTCCTCAATCTGTAACTCTACTCCTAAAAATAAATTTGATCTTGGACTTTCTTTTGCTTCCTATGCTTTGCCTGAAAAGTGTTCTACATTGAAGGACTGTTCTTTTGCTTTCACTCAAAGGTCCTTGGCGGTTCTTATGGCCAATCTGACTGAACCCCTGACTTATGTGGTTTTAAATTATTGGGCACACACCCTGAAGAGGACTGAACCTTTAAAGAGAAAGACATTTGGTGGAAAGGATGGCGGCACAGTTTTTGACAGAACTTGCAAAATCACTTTAGAAATAAAACTGCTGCTCATTGACTGAAGTTCAGAGAGATTTGGTTACTTTTTCCAACAAACGTGGAATGATTTCAGAATCTCTCAAAGTTACTTTATTGTGCTACAGATGGATAGTTTCTGCTATAGATGACTAAAGGGTGAAAATTATGCTCCCTTAGATGTGGGGAGATCTTCCAGCTCAGGGGACCTTAAATGATGACACTTTGTCACCAATGATGTGCTAACTGCCCCGGTCGCTCCTGGGAGAGCAGAATGGATGTGGCTGCAGGACCTGACCCTGTGCAGAAGGAGTGAAGTGGGACGGCACCCCTGTTTAACTGGGGAGGTGCTGATGTGCAGTTTGGTTAGGTATTACCATGTTGCCCTGCAGCTCAAGTTTTCTGGCTTCTTTTTCCCCTGGAATTTGTCTCTTTACATAGGGGTCATCAGTGCTTAGCACCACACTGGCCACGCATTAAATTTTAAGTCAATCTGGAGTGAATATTGAGCATGTGTCTTACTTACAGTCAGCCAGGTATCTGTAGGCTTAAAGCTGGTGTATATATATGTATGTATATTATCAAAGTTGTATCTTGTCAAGTTTGCTAATGCTTTTCCATTTTTTTCTGCTTGCATTCATAGCACCCTTATCAAGATTTGGAAGAAGTTTCTTCCCGTGGGACATTGGAACGGGCACAGACATTCTAAGCAATTCTAAACCGCCTCCTGTTCTCCTGATCATCCACCTTCCCGAGTAGTCTTTAGTCTAGAGCCTAGATAAAACCATGAGGACATGTTGGATGTTGTCCTGGGAAGGAATTGGTCTGAATACACTTGGAGGTGGAACTTCCTGTGATGTGCCTGTGACAGATGAGCTGACATTGCTCAAGCTCTGGCGGTTGTGACAGACACCCCCTCCCCGCCTGGCTCATGAAGATCATGTCTTTTCACTGATACTTTTTTGATAGTTTTATATAATGAAATCCTTATTCTATTTATACTTTAAAACAATAAGGCACTCTAAATAAATTACCAAAAGTAATATATTTGTCTGTGATCTTTTATTCTTCTTACTTCACGTTAATTTTGGGTTGTAAAATTGTTCGTTCGATTCTCACTATTCATTGCTTTCCCTTTTCCACAGCTTGATTTTCAGTTATTTAAATGTCCGAATTTTCCTTCATGGGGACAGTGTATTACATGGCACCATTTAAAAATAAAAGGTGGAAATGTGCCTGCCATTTGCATATCGTGATTAGCTTCTGTCTTCTCTAGTGGAGGCTTCTGGGATGGCTCATGGTTCACGGCCGTGGAGAGGCCCAGGTGCCTTCGGGGTGCACACGGCATCTCGTCACGTTCATCCTATACTGTGTTCAAAGACTTGTGACTGATGGTTAGTGGGATGTTTGGAAATCTCTTAATTTGATAACAAGCACATGGATCCACTCAGTACAGCAGTGTAACTTATTCAGTCAGTGTTTTTCAATAATTAAGACTTTTGTATCCTCTTTACCTGGATTTCTTAGTCACTTGTTAAGTTGTGACATTGAGATACAAAATTCAGAGTGTGACATCGAGATGCATAGGTGTATCAGTACAGAAAGAAGATAGCACTTTGGCTCTATAGTCCTTATCACACTCCTCTAAATTCATTTTTCACCCAGTTACTCTACAGATGTACTGAAGCCAGAGACATTTTCCCCTCTTGTCGCTAGCCCCCCCGGCTAGATCCTGGCATAACCTTTCAGAATGAGGGTGAGGGGGACTGTCAGGGCACTTTGGTGTGACCTCACTGATCATTGTTCATTAACCTTTATACCAGGCCCCTTTCACCCCCAGCACTATGGCAGAGCAGTGATATCAGCCTCAGACCAGTGATAACACCGGTCCATTGTGTGTTCATGGAAGAAAGTCGCTTGATTGTTACCAGTCACTTTTATATTTACTCAGCCCTTGAAACAAACAGAAAAGTAGCTTGTATCAATTTCTGCTTTAACAAGAAGCATGAAATCAGCGATTAAACTGTTGGTGTCCGATGTCTTAAAACTCCCCGGGTTCCAGTCATGTCTATGGAATGCAGGCCTCTGCTGACCTCTGGTGGACTCCACCTCTAATAGCAGCGTATTTGTTTCCCTTTATTATTTTGATGGGAATATTTCATAGCTTACTTTCCATAAAGTGTTCATACATTCCAGGATTCAGCAATTTCTTCATAACATCAGGGAGTTTACATATTGGCTTTTCTACTTATTTGCTGTGTTTCCTGGGCCATTTCACTTCTTTGGGGATGTGTTAGGCTTATATGTATCAAGTGCTTAGACATGCAACACACTAGCTTATTGGGTTTCCACAGCAGTCATATAGTAACAAATATTTCCATTTTACAAAGGAGGAAACCAGGAGTCGAAGAACAGTAGTTCTGCTTATCCCAGAGACTAGAAAATCAAATGCGTTTTCATAGGCAGCAGAATCAGAGAGGGGTGTGACATGGAGTCAATGCTCAGTGACATCAGCATTACCGTTACCCTGGATCTGGGACAAGACATTGCCAGGCACCCTGGAGATACTTGTTTACTCGTGGGTTGCTCTCATTAGAGACACAGGCCAGGTGTCTGGATAATGATACACTACGCCAAGTAGTAAGCTATGTTTGTTTATGATTATGTTTTCTACACACTATTTTTTTTTTTTTAAAGCTTTATTTATTTATGCATACAGAGCTGGGGTACAGGCCAGAGGCTCGGGGCGGTGAGAGGCTTCACCAGAGACAGAGTGGGGAGCAGAACAGGCAGATCCACGAAGTACACTGCTGAGGGGAGCAGCGGGCGGGTCAGGAGAGGTCTGCCCGGCCATGTGGTCACCTCCCAGGCAGGCGGGAATCGAACTCATGCGGAAGTGGCTTTAGCTTCTCAGTGCAGTGCTTTAACCCGCTGCGCCACCAGGGAGGGCCCACTACACACTATTCTTAAGTTAGGAATTAAGTCCTCATTTCTCCAGGGACGGATATGGGGTCAACCTATACCACTCTTGATTGTACTGGGGAAGTCCTGGGTGGGAAGGGAAGAAGAGGTCACGTGTAGTAATGTTGGCTTGCAATGGGACCTCCCAGGTACGGGTAGTGAGGATGAAGGAATCAGAAGACCGGCTCTGACACTGAAGCCCAGGACCATGCCAGGGGCTGCCCAGCTCACACATTGCTGCTCCCACTCATGACACTGGCTGTGAGTGGATACCTGAGAAGCCGGTCCAAGCTCAGCCAACTGCCCCAACAAGGGTTGGGGCTCGCCCCGCCCACTCCGCTCTGCTTGCCTCTGATTGGGGGAATCTGGTCACATGTCTGACCGAGCAGCAGGGAGGCCGATTGGGTCCCATGGCTGACAGAGCAGCAAGGAGGCCGAAATCGCGTCTGGCTCCAGCCGGTGGGTACTTGCTACTTTCTCCGACATCTGAAGAGGGGGGCTCGACTTGACAGACGCCCACTACCCTCCCAAATCTCATTTCCCGCCACTTATCTTTCCCTCCACAGTGCTACAGCCATGCACATTTTGTCACCAAACAAACAATTTCCTTCTGCCCAGGATGCTCCGCTCCCCTATACTGCTCCTCCCTGAGTTACGCCGAGGCCTCCTTCAGGGTCAACTGTCACCCTCTCTGGAGCCTGCCCTGGCCTCACCAAAGCTGAGCTGAGGTGCTCCCTCACCCCTTTGCCTTCACCCCACTGTGCCTGTCGCGGTGACGCTCACCGACACGATGGACTCATCACGGAGACGGCTGCGGCTGTCGAAGGATTCCTCACGAGATGCTCCACCTCGCCAGAAAGTCCCAGCTTCTCCCTCACACCTTGGCTTGCTCCTCTCCTGGGCCTGGTGCTGCAGTGATTGCCATTGTTTCTTGCTTCCACCTCCAAGGAGAAGGATCCCTTTAAAACGTCAAGTGGAAGTTCACTGGGAGAGCAGCACATGCCTGTTCCTGCTTCATAGGCTTTGGTGGAGAGTCAAGCTGCTTTTCAGGTGCGTGTCAAGAATTTGTATTTGTATCTGGAAAGTCAGGAAGCTAAGATCTATGTATGGGAGTAGGAGATTGGGAAGAGAGGGAGAGAATGAATATGAACTGTGGGTCACAAGAGTAACTCCTGATGTTTAAAAGACTCCTAGTGAATTATTATGAGCTTCTTCACACCCAGAATAACTCACCACAGGACATTTCTGCTTCCTTGAATCCCATCTTATAGGACCATTTGTTTTGAGGTACAACAGCTTTTTCATTAAGCACAGTGTGCTCTGTCTGTGATGTTTATTATTACTCCATTATTTCTCTTTTCTTTTTTTCCCCCTAATGTCATCTTTTAAAATTCTTTTAGTTGTGCTGACTACAGGATTCTCTCCTTCAGATAGCTCCTCCCACACTTGGGATGAGGAAACTGAGGCCCAAGATTGCAATTCACTTGCCTCAATGTCTCTTCCAGCAGCAGGTCCTGCCCGCCTGCTTGCTGAATCCCTTGGGGACCTGAGCCTTAAGACCAGTGGGTGGCAGGGTGGGATAACCTTAAAGTTTTTCTGGGAGGGCATGGTGACATTTATCAGGCTTCACCATAAAAGAAGTGGCTTAGAGTCACAAAGAAAGAAGGAAAGGAGGAAAAGGGAAGAAGAAAAAAATGGGGAGAGAAATGAATTAATCATAGTGTAGTTGAGAGACTGCATGTTGAAAATGGCTCTTGGAGTTTTAGAACATGAAGAACAATGGACTTTTCTTCCCTCTCCCCCCACCCCCAACAGGAACTAGTACAGAGATAGATGTAGAAATTGGAAAGGTGGACATTTTTTTTAAACAATTTTTTGGGGGTGAGTTGAATAGGACCCCCTCCAAAATTCATGCTCACTCAGTACCTCAGAATATGACTTTCTTTATAGTCTTCACAGATGTGATTAGTTAAGATGAGGTTATGCTGCATTAAGTGAACTCTGAGTGTCCAGTAAAATTGATGTACAGATAAGAAAACAGAGGCACACAGAGAATTTCCAGCAAAGATGGGGAGTGGGGACCAGTGATTGGTTGTAAGCCAAAGGATGCTGGGAGGCCCCAGATGCTGGAATAGGCAACAGAGGATTCTTCAGAGGAGGTATGGTCCTGCTGCCCCTGAATTTTGGACTTCTTATCTCAAAACTGAGAGAATAAACTTCTGTGGTTAGTAGCATCCGTTTAGTGGTACTTTGCAATGGCAGCCACAGGAAGTCTTTGCTGGGTATGGCATTCTCTTAGCCACAAAGTGGCTTTGGGAGTGCCTTACTCCTGAACAGGTGGACTTTCCCGCCCTGTGTTCCCGTCTTAGGAGCATTTCCCATGGGTAGGCTGGCTCCCAAGGAGGAAGAGCAGCTGAGCACATCCAGTTCCTTCTCTGAAATGAACTAATCAGAAGGGAAAGATGAGAGGTCAGAGGGAGTCTTGCTAAAATGTCTCCCATGGGAAACCTAGGGAGTGGAGACTAAGTGTTCCTACCAGTGAGTAGGAGCAGTGGAGTACAGCTGCCAATTTTCAGTCTGCACAAAGTTTTCCTAAAAATATTTGAATCCTTATCCAACATTAAAAAGTTGGAAGATTTCACGTAAAATCCAGATTTTAAGCTGCTCTTAGAAAATGGAAATTCTGGTCACAGGGGGTCATATTCCCACAAAGCAATGGCTGGCTGTTGCTGCTAAGAGAAGGCTTTGTTCAGGTGGGTGCAGAATGTCCAGCCCCCCATTTTCCCAAGTCTTATCCTTGGTCTGCACCATGCCTTTCTGTTCCTGCTGGTGCTTTTAGACATTTTGATATAGGACTCCCAGAATGGAGATTAAGATTGTGAACCAGAAAGAGAGAAAATTGTACATTTTATTTTGTTGGAAAATGTTTCCCCACCCTGCTGGGCTACCTCAGAGGCTGCTGAAATCAGTAAGACAGTGACTCCTGTCTGCTGGGACTGGACGAGCCCTGTGGCTAAATGCACTGGACCCTTCCACAGTCAGCTGGACCTTTCGTG